TGTTTGAAGCCTGAAATGTGGCAAAAGGTTGAAAAGTTCAAGGGGGCCGAATACTTTCGCAAGGCACTGTATCAACACCAAGTCTTCACTTGTACTGTAGATTTTTGGATTCTAGAAAATTAAAGGAATTAATGATGTTTTCTAAATGGAACTATCAAGAAACTGACTTTCCTGAGATTTTAGTCAACTGACATAATCATCTCTAGTGCGTTTTCCTTCAAAAAAGCTTTATTCTAGTCTTGCATTTTAAAGTAGTTTTAGTTAATATATCTCTCACACAAGATACTATGTAAATATTTTTAAGTTTAGACATTGTGCAAAAACTAATATGAATAGTTAGAACTATCCTTTACAATACAATTGCTTACATGTTCATAATTATAATCCCTATGCTATATATAAGATACGGGGTATTGATGGATTAAGCAGGCTTGGCTGTACTGACGTAATATGTGTAATAGTGTGTCCGCCAGACCTTTATTATACTTTCTTCAGGTTTTAAGAATAGACTGTGAAATCACAAATGAGAAGCGACATAACTGCATTTGTGCCATGTCTTTAGAACACCAGCACATGCGCTACAACCCCCTCAGAGACTCGTGGGTCCTGGTTTCTGCTCACAGGATGAAGAGGCCTTGGAAGGGCCAAATGGAGAAACCCCCAGAGGACAATATCCCCCGCCATGATCCCTCCAATCCACTTTGTCCAGGCAGCACAAGAGCCAATGGGGAGGTAGGGTACACTAAGCACCTTGTGATGTGCCTTTAGGCTACATGAGAAGTGGTGGACTTAACCTCTGAGGGGGCTTCACATGCCAGTGGGTGCTGGCAGAGACCAGGGCCTTCGGATAACCTTCAAATTTCTAACCTGCACTTGGAAAGCCAAATCTCAGCATTTTCCATCTTGCAGTTCATCTGCTGGAAATTATGTCTGGCCAGCACTGAAATCAAGCTAGCAAACACAATAGAATTCCCTGTTGATAACTGCTGTCTCCTGAGTTTTATTTTTTAATCTGTTGACTGCTGTGATATACTGAGTCCTTCTGCGCTTGAACAAATTCCTATATCTCACTTAAGAAATGCTTTACTACTGGCTATCTTGTGGTTATTGAGCGTTCTGACTGAAAAATGCAGTTAGCTCCTTTAGAAACTAACTTGTTTTTCATCTTGCTTGCGATTTTTATGAGAGTTTTTTTGATAAATATTTTCATTTTATCACCAAAAAAACAAATTCAAGGACCAGCAGGAGATTTGATTATTTCTTCTTACTCTCTGCATAGTGCTTTCATGTAGTTTCCACTTGTGTGCTCTGCTTTGTGTTTCACTTTATACACTGTTTAAATAGCAATCAATTGCATGGCTGATAATAACATGTTATTAACATATATAAGACACTAATCAAATTGATATTATCAGTAGATTTCATGCTGTTGGGGACTTTTCAATGTAATGATAATCGGCAAAGGCTGACACTCAACAATCAATAGAGGTATTACATGGGTTTGATTGTATATAGGGTGGCTCAGAGGTATTAGCACTGTAGCCTCACAGCTCTTGCGTCCTGGGATCAATTTCAGCTTGGGGTGCCTTCTGTGTAGAGTCATCATGTCCAATGTGGATTTCGTCTTTCTTCCCAAAGTCATCATGGACAGTTTAATCTGTGTTTCAGATTGCCTCTGTGTGGGTTCCCTGCAATGGAATCCCAATTAGAGTGTCGTCTTGCTACTTTCTCCTCGAAGCCAAAAAAAAAAATGTTAATGTTTTTTAATCAGACCTTTCTGTATCAGTATGCTCTTTACACAGAGAACACCCCTCAGGGAAACAGAATAGTTAATTTATTTTTGAAAGGAGCCCAGATCCCACATAGGCAGCTGCCACTCTGTCCTAAGGAGGGTAGTAATTCCACTGAGGTACAGAATGTGTTGCAATACATGTTATCAGAGATGCAATATACAGTGTAAGTTTGTAGACAACCCATGTAATACATGTTCACTTTTATCAGGGAGAAGTTATGGAGTTACACTTAACTAATAGAACTTGTGTGCCCACATTAGTGAAGTCAATGAATTGAAGTGACAGCGACGTTTAAATTTGCTCAGTGATATTCCTACAGAGTGTAAGAGGTCAAAGAAGAAGGACATTTCATTTTAAGGACATTTATTTCTCAGGAGAAGTATAGAAAGCCTAAAGTATGTTTTAGAATTTTTTTCTTTGTGATTTAGTGAACTATGAAGAGAATAATCTTGAGACCTGGGAAATATCATAGAAGATCAGTAGCACAGAACACAGATGTTTTTACTTTGCCTTTAACCAGCGGCTGGCTGTAATGTTTATTCACTGATGGACAGATTAAAACAAATCCCAAATCAAATTGTCTTCTTAGTTTTTGCAGTTTGTTTTATGTGTTGCAGGTTAACCCTGACTATGAGAGCACTTTCTTGTTTGATAACGACTTCCCAGCACTTCAGTCTGATGCTCCAGAGCCAGGTTGGTCTACTTTCCTTTGGAAGCGAAATTACAAATTATTATTATTATCTTTCAATCCATTCACTTACAGTAAACTCAACATCCTTAGAAAAGTTTCTTTATTTCCTTCTAAGGTCTCAGTGTGTGCCCCAATGTCCCCTACGTAGAAGGAAGTCAACAAGTTCTCCTTTTTCTGCCTGTATTGTTTCTTCCTTACATTTTCACATTTAAATATAAAAATTCTTTCAGAGAATTATATCTACCACAATTATATCTACCACAAAAATGTTCAATTCTCACTCTGCACTCTTTAAAGACATCTATAATAACTGCTTACATAATTGTTTTTAACATAATTGTTCATAACCATAATTGTTTCAATAATTGCTTATATAGTGCTTTTCTGGACACTCCACTCAAAGCATTTTACAGATAATGGGGACTCCCCTCCACCGCCACCAATGTCCACCTTGATGATGCGACGTCAGCCATAGTGCGCCAGAACACTCCCCACACATCAGCTATTAGTGGGGAGGAGAACAGAGTGATGCAGCCAGTTCATAGATGGGGATTATTAGGAGGCCATGATTGATAAGGGCCAATGGAAAATTTGGCCAGGATGCCGGGGTTACACCCCTACTCTTTTCAAGAAATGCCCTGGGATTTTTAATGACCACAGTGAGTCAGGACCTCAGTTTTGCGTCTCAACCGAAGGACGGCAACTTTTAACAGTATAGTATCTCCAGTACTATACTGGGGCATTAGGAGCCACATGGACTGCAGGGTGATTGCCCCCTGCTGACCCCACTAACACCTCTTCCAGTAGCAACCTTTGTGTTTCTCAGGAGGTCTCCCATCCAGGTACTGATCAGGCTCACACCTGCTTAGCTTCAGTGGGTTACCAGTTGTGAGTTGTAGGGTGATATGGCTGCTGGCATTTGTACATGTAATGTGTTATTTCAAGGAAGTAGTGCAGGGATAGGATTATGAACTAAAATTGGAGATAAATAGTTTCAGCATCGAGGACTGAAACACTTCCTTGGCAGATGAGGAATTGAAGAAGTGTTTAGGAAAAGGGTATAGGCTAGAGGCAGGTAACAACATCTCAGTTACTCTATTGAGACATGCTGTATACTGCTGAAAATTGAACTTGATTTCCTTTCATCAGCTTAGAAATATTGCCAGAGTACAATTATATCTATCAGCTGTAAATTCTGAGAAATACATTCATGTTTTTTTTACTTCTAGACGGGGCTATTCTAATATTCTTTTTTCGGTTCTCTCTATCTAAGCTTTGTTACGTTTGCAGATTGTGCAAAATGCTACATCTAGACTCAGAACATACTTTTGCACTTTAGGTTTTCTGATATAAATTAATTATTTTTTATTACTGTAATGGAGTTTGTGGAATTTTTATTTTTGGTTAGTGCTACACAATTGCTCTATTGATCCTGCTGCTGATCATAAATTAATTGAAACAAATATACTACATTGTAATGTATCAGAAGAGCCATGAGCACCTACCTCTTTGGGGGATATTTGTGCCCAAGGCACAGGACTTGTCTTGATGTTGATGTTTATACTACCATAACAATTTAATCAATAATTTAGATATATAACTGTCTAAAAAACTGTCCTAGCAAACAATGGTGGTGTACATACAATTGCAAACTTTTTTAGTCAACTACATACACATTTATAGAAATTTAAAGTAAAACATATTTTTTGTTTTTTTTCTTTTGTACACCTTAGCTCCAGTGTGCTAAAAGTGCAGCTTCTGCATACTGTCAGATAATGTCGGGGGATGAATATGAATCTGTGTGAAACAATAGTGTTTGCCATTGACAAAGCTATTCAGAACCTATATCTGAAGAACAGGGTAAAATGGCAAGTAACCGTGCAAAGAGAAACATGAAAATACTTACAAGGGGGAATGCAGATGGGAGATGAAATCACAGGAGAGTGATATTATTTCATTTTTGTCTTTAGTCTAAAGGAAAGTGGTTAGTAACAACTTATTGGCACATACTGTGATAATCTGTCTTCTCCTATGTTTAATCTTCCAAATATAATATTAATGAATACATCTGGATGCGCTGAAATAGTTTTTAAGGGTATGTGTTAAAAAACATTGGAAATGAGTTTAAAAAAAACAACAGATCAAAACTTTCTGAAATTCAGGGATAAATGTAACATGGAGTGTCTTGTCTTTTATGAACACTCCATGTTACTCCATGGAGCCCACTTAAGCTACTGCTATGGGCAAAGGGGAGCTGTACAGTGTGTTTATCCTGTCTGTCTTACTCTTTTCTTACTGTCCTTATCTTCTACATAAGTGACCGGGAGGCAGAGGTAATGCAACAAATAACTTTGATATAATATTGAAATTGAGCTTTTAAAGACACCAGCATGCCTCTCAGACAAAATATGGTGCATCTCTTTTTGTGGATTTCTTTCCTAGAAAATTGTGGGGTTGTCTTTTCCCCACTGTGATAACTTTTTTCATTCCAATTGAGAGTTTTAATGACGTAGCAAATTGTTCCTTGTCTGGGACATTAGTGGGGGAGGGGCAGCAGTCTACACAGTCCAAAATGACTTTAATATGGGAAGAAACATATGAGAAACATAGCTATTTGTAGTCATTAAATATAAGAGGAAAGAAGTGTAGGAAATTCTGACTAGGCAGCATAAGTGTTATGAAGTATTTCCTATTTAAGGACTGCAAGTAGCTTAAATAGAAAAAACTCCAGCTTCTGCATTATGAAATGATCACAGAATCCCTTTAAATTTAAATACAATAAGTGTTCAGGATAGAACTAATACTTTATGATTTCATTGTACTTTGGAATAGTTACACCTGTGTGAAACAGTTATGTTCTTCCCCAGTTATCTTCATTTACGTTTTATCAGTTTGCAGTGGCCAAATGGTATGTGCTACAAGAAGTACATTAAAAAACAAGTGCATGATATTTGCAGAATATTTATTTTCATTCAAAATGAATACCACTCTCACCTAAAAAAAGAAACATTTTTGATTGTGACATTTGTAATGAAAGCGGCAGTGCTGCTTTTCTGTCCTGGAGTTCACCCTGCAGGAGGTAACATGCTCTCTTTAAGCGCAGCTAATAAATCGGAAAGCATGAAACCGGCTCCTTAATCACTGAACTGTGAACAGGCATCTAATTGTGCTATTAAGTACCCATTAACTAAAATATGTTTAATCCAAATCAATTTTCCCCTGTCAGGATCCAGCGACCATCCATTGTTTCAGACGAAAGGTGCCAGAGGTGTTTGGTAAGAAGAATTAATTATTTTTTGTCATGGCTGAATTAGTTTGCATTTATTTTATGTGAATGAGCATGTGTGTGAACTCTCACATTTAGTAGCAGAATCTTTTCTTGTTATACCAATCAGGCATGTAACTGTGACATTTTATATTTTCTGAAAGCTAGGGTAACAGATATAGCCAGTAGGGTATGGAGCAAATAAATTATGGGAAAGTGTGCAGCTAAGGATCTTTAATCCTTGAAATTGCAGTTCTATGAAAAATAGTACATAGGGTGAATACCCAATATTCAGAATGTAGCATTTACTCCTGTTTAATGAAAGCTGATAGCGCATTCACTCTGGTAGATATACTGACAGAAATAAAACTAATAAACCAGTCTGTTTTTATTTCATGAGAAATTTGCTCACTGTATCTAGGACTACGTCTCAGACTTCTAGTGACAGTGCTTTTTTCTCTAGTTGCTCCATTGTTATGGAATGCCTTTCTTCTGACTCTTTGAGAGACAAATTATTTGACTCTTTTCATATCAAACTTAAAACTCATCTTTTGACCAGGGCCTACTACTGACTACCTTACAGTTTATCTCCTATGTTCTTGTTTCACACCTACATGCACATAAAATTAATTACAGAATTGGGAAATGTCCTCAGAAAGACAACTAATGAGTTGAAATATGTTAATAAAAAGCAATTTTGCACAGATAAGCCTACATGTTAAACATTTATGTGCATATTTATTTATATGTATAATAAATAATTACATACATTGATTAGTATATGCTAGGAGTCATATACTTCAGGTAAAATACTGAAATTGTGGTTATTCCCACAATTGCGGCATAAAGGTATGCTGTTAGCTTGGATTGTTGTTGATTGAAAATGTTAGCTTGCACTGAAAATGTTAGCATGTCATCAAAGTAATTGAAAGCTACAGACAAAAGGTTAAACATGCCATTTTAGAAATATGCATAATTTGATTGTTCATAACAGGGGCATTCTATAATTCAATGTTATAACATTCTGTATTTCTGGTGAGAGTTCTGGCAACTGAGCTTATCTCTCAAGCACAATAGAGGACCACACCCTGGACAAGACGCTCGTTCATCACCACAGAGATTGATATGTCAGAAGCTTGTTAACTAATACAGATTGTCAAAAGACACCTCCACATTATCATTGTTATCAGGGCAGACTGACAATACCAGAAAAGGGGGTGATTCTCACCTTGAAATGATCAGAAATCTTTATGATCATCTGACTTACTGTTTTATGTTTATTTAGCAAAGAAGGTTGCATATCCCCATCATTTTGAATCTAACTTTCTATTTTAAGTGACACCTGGGTCAGCTTAAAAACTGTGATGGAACACAGAGATATTGAAGTATAAAATCTGTGTCGAATGCGATGATATGCACCTGATCATAATTGCATGCTTGATCATGTCCTTAATAAACTGTAGTTGGCTCCACTGTAAAGTAATTAGGTATGTCGGATCATTGTATTACGAGTTGATTTAATCAGTTTTGACCAAAATTCCATTGTCATTATTGGATTTAAAAAGGCCTTGAGGAGTTACACTGGGCTGAGATGAGTATCGCTGTCAGTCTTGGGAAACTACACCTTCAAAACACATAAGGGTGGTGCCTTCAGGCTATTAAAAGTACTAATTACTAAATAATAGAAGAGATAAGTTATTGCTTTGTAATAACTGTCATTACTGAGGTTCTTTTAATAAGATACAATTATAAGTGTAGGCAGCATGGTGGCACAGTGGTAAGCAGTGCTGCTTTACAGCGCTGGGACCCTGGGTTCAATTCTGGACTTGGGGCTCTATCTATGTGGAGTTTGTATGTTCTCTCTGTGTTTCTGTGGGATTCCTCTTACACTCAGAAGACATGCTGGTAGATTAACTGGCTTCTGGGGAAATTGCCCTCAATGTGAATGTGTGCATGCTTGTGTCTGTATGTGCCTGCGGTGGGTAGTAATCCTGTCCATGATGTATCCTGTCTTGCTTGCTGGGATAGGCTCCTGTTTCCCCCAGACCCTGTCAAGGATAAAGTGGTTAGAAAATGGATGGATGGATTTAACTGTCATCATGTCATAAAATGAACAAGAAGCGTGGTATTCTTGTTACAAATTAAGATTGATTACACACAGCACATAACACAGAGATACTAAAATGTATTTGAGACACCCAGATTACATATGGATTATGATTGATGAGACATTTGTTTGACTACAGTAGATTGCAATTACTACATCATGGAAGGATAGATAAATCTTATTTTACAGAACCTAAGAAAAAAAGGTGTGATTTCTCCCTATATGTTTTATAACCACCAGGTGGCAGTGTAATGTAAAGAACAGCTTTCAAAATTGTATATAAGGATCTTAAGACTTTATGAGCTAAGAAGATGTATATTTCAAAGCATTCTACAGCTGTTAAGGAAATAGAGAAACTGTCCAGAAATAGTGTTCATAGACAGAGATAGATTACAGGGGTATCTAGGGAAAATGGTTTATAAAGGTCAGTTAAAATTACTTCTGGAAAGATGATATAAAACACATTTAAAACCGTTTTTTCTCCACCCAAATGATAAAGGTGGAGGAAATTCAGTCTGCTATGAACCTATTCCACATATTGTATATGCGAGATGATTCTTGTTTAAGTTCTATTCCTATTCTAATAAAAACAGAAGGACATTTTGAAAAGAGCAGTGGATAAATGTTGTGTGCAACACTCATATACTTATTCCTCCCATTTCCCCACGTTCAGAATTTTGAATTTATTGTATTGATGAATCAGACAGGTAACATGGGAAAAATGTGCTGCATCACAGCAGAACATTGAATTCTGTGTACTCCCTTCCCCAGCATGTAAGCATTGTACAATCACTTTCAGCAGCCACACCCTTCACTTTGGCTCGTTCTCATTTAACATGAACATGTTTTGAAGACCTCACCTCTTTTACAAAGCTGTGCTCTGAATACTGGAAGGTGTATCTGAAATTGCACTGTCAGTCTGGGACTGGTCACCAATGAGAGAAGGCGATTGGCTGTTCAATCACTAGTAGCTCAGTATTCTGTGGCTCTCCAACCAGGGAGTCAGCTTCCCCTATTTGGCTGGGTAGTTTTTCCATACACCCTACAGCTCTTTGTGTCGAGAAATATAAAGATATGCCTTTGTTCTCAGTCTTAAATGCATGTCACTTGAATTTCTACTTGTGTCCCCTGGTTTGTATTGCATTGGTGGTTCTAAAGAAGGCCACTGACCTGACTTTGTCAGTGCCTTTGAGGGTTTTGAATATTTCAATCATGTCCTCTCGTGTTCTTCTCTCTTCAAGACAAAAAGTTTCAGTTCTTTCTGCCTGTTGGGCAAATGTGAGAGGACATTTACTGTATTAGAACATAAGAAAGGTTACAAATTAGAGGAGGTCATGAAAAACATAAAATATAACGCAAAACTACTTACAGTAGATAGACTGCTGTTGCAATTCTGTGCATGTCTTTCTCTTTGGAGTACTGCACCCTGACAAGCATGTCGTTTTTGTTTTGTAGTAAAGTGATGTGCTTCCACCCCTGGTCAGACATCACCCTGCCTCTGATGCAGGTCAGTGAGATCAAGGCTGTGATTCACAAGTGGACAGAGCTGACAGTGGAACTGGGAGCCACATATCCCTGGGTGCAGGTAAATGCTGAAACAAAATTGAGAATTGCAGCATAAATAGGTAGCTAACTGTGGCAGTAAGTAGGATTATTTTTGCTCTTATGGAGCTAATTTGCAAAGAGTTGATATCTCTGTGTTCTCTTCTGGTCAACTTCATTGGAACGTCTCAGAACTCGTATACATTAACTAAAAAGGTATTTTTTACTTTTATGCCACAAGAATGCCATACTGTAGGTTCATAGATGGCCACAAGGGTCTTATTAAGATAAGACAGAAGAAAGTAATTTGTATGGCAAATTTAATCTCTTTTGTGTGCTTGTTCTTAAAAATACCCAATTGTAACTTAGAAAGGCATGACTTTTTACTTTCAAAAGGTGTTGCGTCGAAATTCCTCATAATCTGATTCATAATCCTTCATGCTGTGTCGTCTGAAGTGACACTAACTGATAACATAGTGTAATTACTCTTCTGAATTAATTGGATCAGCTGGATACCAAGGCATGCACTCCTCTGAAAATACGAGCTCTCTATTTTACAGCTCCTCTCTCTGCTGTTGTAAAACTGGAGTAGGAGTCTCAGAGCTATGTTTTATCACCATGTAGCATTGAAAATCTTCTGATCTTAATACAATAATTTGAATATTCCGTACATTACACATAAAGATTCAATTTTTTAGAATTGTGTGCGGCTTTTGAATTTTCCCTATGCACTGTAAGCCAATGTTGATTTAAAAATAAATGATTGAATGCTGGTTGGAGAAAAAAAAAATTAAATAAGAATGTTGGAAAACAACTTTTGGACATTTCAAATTAAACACACATTTTGGTCAGAAACTTGAAATCTGTACATTCTTAGCAGAAACAAATGTTCCTGTTAAGGAAATGAATAGTACAGTTATGTTCATTTTGGTTGAATCTCAGGTAGAACACTGAGTTATGAGGCTAGGATTCTGAAGGTCCAGTCTGGAGCAGAATACTGCAGTTTGAAAATTGATAATTTCTGATTCTAGGTAACATTGCAATCCACCTTTGTCTTGCAGATTTTTGAAAATAAGGGTGCAATGATGGGCTGTTCCAATCCACACCCACACTGTCAGGTGAGCTGGATGAATGAATTTATACAAACACATGTTTGTGTTTTGTAAACCTGAGGACATTGTTAAAAACAAATTTGTTTTGTGTTTTTCACTCAGTCTACTTTCTTCAGACTTCAATATGATTAATGTCAAATTAGTAATTTACCAGTTTAGTACTTCGGGATGTGTATTTTTTTGTTAAGCACATTTGTTCATTATAGTCACATAGATGTTATATAATGTTTTATTTGTACGTTTCTTCACAATCCTCGGCCAGGAGATTACTAGTTCGAATCAGGGTGTGACACTAAGCCCTCTGCAGTTGGCAGAGCCCACGGGCAGCACATAACTGGCTGAGTACCACTTGAGTTGAGCTGAGTGAAGTGGAGTGATCTGAAGAATCCTTTGCCTATTGCACATCAGCAAATATGGGCTTTTCTGTTCTGTTATTGGAAAAGGAAGCAGGTATAAAGAAGGTGAATCTTTTGGAGGATGTGCTGTATGTGTCTTTACTTCATTTCTCTGAGCAGACGTGTGGAAATAATGGTAACAAATGACTGTCAGTTGCAAAAGTAAAGGGTTACGTCATCTTATGTAGGAATAAATGACACCTGAATGTGTGACTAAAACAGTGCAAAAAGAAGTCTATTAAACCTTTAGCTTTTTGTTTTACGTAATACATTTTCAAGATGTTTATCTTTTTGAATCCAGAATTATGTAAGTCTATAAAACATACATAATAGGAGAGATAGTGGGATAGCTCAAATGAGATTTTCAGCCTCATTAGAACATGAGCATGGATATTTTTTCAGTTTATATTTGTCTGAGTTTCTGCTGTGAGAATATATTGTGTTTTCTGCTTCATTGTACTTGGTTGCACCTTTCTGGACTGAAATATTAATGTAGTATTCATTGGTGCTATTTGGAGCCTCATTTCCATATTTTTTGTGACAAATTTGTAGGGAAGTTATTTTGCTGCAAATGTAAAGTAGAGCAGGTTACAATTAATTGGAACAATTGATGCAAACAGAACTGACCAGTTAAGACATCAAATATTTAGAAGAATGGATAATAAATTGTAGATTGTAAAATCTTCATTTTAAACGGCCTTTACAGGTCTAATGCTATTCCTCAGTGACGTAAACCATCATTACCTATGTCTTCTTATCCATGTTTGTTCTCAGATGCTCTTAAATATGTTTAATTTTTAAGTTTTGACCTCAGGTTTTAATAATTTAGAAATACGCAAACCAAAGATGTTGGTGATACTCTGGGAAGTAAGCTGGAAACTTGGGCCACAGTCTGCATTTTTCAAGAAATTCTGAAACATGAGCTCAAAAATGACACCTGAAAGTGACAGAACAAGAAAACTAAGATATACTGTAGGTTCTGGCAGCTTGAGTATTAATTAGTTTGCTTGGACATCTTCACATTATTATTGAACATTCAGTAAACTTAGAAGATACTGTACATGTTTGATGCATACCTTTTTTAAACAATATGCAATACTGTACCTTAATAGAATTGCGGAAGAAATATGTCCAATAAATGTTTTACTTCTAGGCTGTCAACATTCAGCCCAAATCTAATTTTGCTGAGTTTACATAAGACATGTAATATTCAGTTGTGTAGTTCTAAATAAAATAAAAATAAAAAGTGACAGCTATTGTTTTTTGGTGAGGGATGATGGTGCAAGCCTTACCAAGTTCTTCAGCCACTTAGCTGGGGATCTAGCTATGTGACATGCTCCTGAGATGCCACTCTGGCTTTGAAATGATTTTGAACACCTGGGGGTAAAACATGTGAACTCCACCTACACGTGCAATCAGATCCCCTGACAAGGGCACTAGGGATGAACTGCTTAGACTGGACCTTGTAAATAATGTCTTTATCTTTTACAGCAAATGGTGTGGTGGGTCTTTGTTTTTACTGCTCCATTTTAACTACTAGACACTTATTATTACCACTGGAGCAAACACATCCCCCGGGCTATAAAAAGTCAGGGTCCCCTGCAGGGAAATTCAATGCTCGTTTTCCAAATGGTTGCCATACCAGGAAGGCCCACTAGGTGGCGGAACAGTCATGTCACATGCGTTATTTCTGACGCAAGCTCTGACCTCACCCTATACAATGACACCTGCTCTTATATTCCTTTCACCTTTGTAATATTGGTGAGGAAGCCATACCAAAATAAAATCCACTGAAACCAAATTATGACAAAAAACTTTTTTTTTTTCCAATAGTTATTTTGAAGCAAGGAAAATGGTAAAGTCTGTAACATGTATTAAAACCATTACTTTTAGGACTAATTTGAATTTAGCATTTTAAGAAGTGCATTTCTAAACATGGTTCTCTGGCTGTTGCCCAAGCATTATATGCCGTTTCAGTGGTGTCGTGAGCACTGTGCAGTCAACTGCCACAGCAAAGACACAGCTCTATGCTGTGAGTGACAACATGCAATGACATTTAGCTTTATGAAAACTATACAGAGGAGGTCAAAAATCTGTATCTAGTGCACTGTTGTTTTGTTCCTTAATTTTAATTTGCAGACACAGGGTGAATGTGTCTCCTGATATTACCAAGCTTCAAATGAATATGACAGCAACCCATTTCTTTCCCTAATTTTCTCCTCTACCATGCATTGCTGAGTAGATATTCAACCTCTATTTTTCCTTTGCCTATGCTTCAAAAGCTCTTTCGCCTTCAGCACAGAGCATATCTCATGTAACACTGTGAACATAAAGCCACTAAACAAGCCCAAATCTGCCAGTTTTCCAATAATGCCACCATTACCTGTTTAGGTCTTAAAACTGAAGATATTGATGCTATTGGCAAGGGCACCTTACTGATGTGAGCTGAACGGAGGGTGGAAAAGTGCCAGGGGTGATATCAGTCTGGGTGCAGCCTCCATAGCAAACAGAATGCAGTGTTTCCACAGACATTGTACCTGTAGCTCAAATCAAGTAAATCGTAGGTTGACTGAATACAATATGTAAACACTTCAGGTTATGCTATGACTACAAGCAATAAAAACAGGAGAAGAGCTGTGAAACTGGCTACATGTTTCATGAGCTTTGCTTTTATTACTTTTTAGGATTTATTGATTTTGTATTGTTTTAAATCCTTTTGATAAATTATAAAATAGAGAGGTTATTAAATCAATATTAAAGATGAATAATTCCATAACCTTAAGTCTGGGATTACAGCATGTCATGTGGCATTTTCTCTAGCTCAGTTTGATAAGAGAGTAATAATTGGACCCAAACATAGATTAGAATTAGACCCAAACGTAGACAGACAAAAGTTTACAATTATACGACATATACAATCGTTATACTGTAGACATGTATGTACATTCAGAAGGTTTCAGAGTTCTGTTTTCTATTGACATTGAAAATCCAAAATTCCGCCCTATCACAGGCACTTTAATGGGTCAAATAGAGAGCAACCTTTGTTCTCATATGAGCCTTAACCAGAACTAAATCTCCATCTCTAAAATGTGGATGCACATACTGTAAATGAACCAATTTCCCTATTCTACCAATATATAAATCAAATAGTTTTTTTAGTTTGTGAATACTACAATAAAGGATGTTATCTGGAAAGAATCTGGTTCCACGTCTGGTTCAAAAGAAGAGCTCTTCCACAGCACACCTTTGATGATGATGATAATTAGTGATAAGATGATGTTCTCTGTTCTTGTCTTGTCTACCTTAATGTTCCTATATTTATGTCATGGTCCATTTGTATGGAGGCTCATTTAATGACCACACAAGAAATGCAAAGGAACAAGTTAAAGTTGATTCCATGCTGAAAAGAGAAGAAAGGGAACACAATGTTTTGGCTGTTAGCATAGGTTTATTTCTGCATTCAGATGGCATACATACTGGTTACAAGTATGGGCTTTGCACTCTGAGACGCAATCCTATGCTTCTGAAGGTATCGCTGATTAGAGCTACAGTGAATACAGGCTGCAGGTCAGGCCCTACCAGACAGGGCCAGCTCAGATACATCTGGAGAAAAGCTGTGGTAACATGGTGCAGGTGTGTCTCCTGGATTCAGGCTCTGGACTTCTGCCCCAGGCTGAAGCTTGTTAAACATGAGTACTCCTCAGCTCTCTCCCCCTGCCCCGTTCAAGTGCTATGGGATAAAAGAGAAACAGAATAAAAAAAAAATAATCTAATCTACTTAATCTCTTCCAAGTACTGCAAGCACTTCCCCTCTGTTCTTGATTGACATAGTTGTCATTCTGAGGGTTTTGTGTTATATCCTTTCACTCAGCATGGAAATGTCTTTCTTTTTTTATTCCTGTGTGCTGACAAGTAAAAGATGGCGCCTCGGGTTTCCTAATGGGTTCTGTCACTGGTGTGTCTGTTCATTTGCCATTCTGATAGGGTTGTTACTGTAGGGCCCCCCTGTGTGTGAATGACAGGCGGCAGGGCTTTTGGAATATTAAGATGTGAGTGATGGGAGTTTGATACTCTGCCTCCAGGTAGCAATTGGTTTCTTAACGGGAGTCAATAAGCTGCACACAGGGCAAGCAATAGATCCTGCTGTGGTGTAATAGCATAAAGAAAAATCATCTTGGAAGGTGCCAGTACAATATGATCATAATGAATGAAAGTGGAAACATTTATGCTTGGCATCCCTGCTGTTCATTTTCCTTTGGGTTATTAGAAAGCTCAGTGCAAGTACTTTTTTTAATATCAAGCTTTTAAAAAGTGCCCCCTGTTGGAAATTTTTTTTTACTTTTAAGACATCTCTTTTGTTGTTTCGGCAAGGCAGGACAGCACTTACAGGAAGGGTCTGCAGCAGCTCCCTTAATGCCTGGTTTAAGCATTTCTGAGAGGCCGTAAAAGTTTCTGTAATCACTCCAGGCACAGACATTATTATTATGTGCAGGCAGCCAAAATATTAAAAGAGCTACTCCATTGCTGTGAGCTGCTCAGGTTGGTGTATTACAAAGGGGAGTTGGCGTGTAGGCATAATATGTGTGATAATAATCTTGAATGTCTTGGCAT